TAATATCATCTGATCCTGTTACAACATTTGCAAGGAAAAAAATATCATGTAAAAAATATGAATATAACCTTGTTATAATATATCTATATTTATAATGGTAATAAAAAATAAAATTATTTCCACCAAAAAGTTATAAAACCCACGTTAAAAAATTAAAATTTTCTATTTTTTGGATTTCTTATTTAATAAATCATACCTAGCACAGGTAAATAAAATAAAATAAATATTGTGCCCTCACGCAAAACGTGTGTTTTTACAATATAAAAATGCGAAAAAAAATAAAAGCCTTAAGTTTTTGATGTAAGAACATGCTTACTTATACGTATTTTATACTATTTAAGACCTTAGAAAAGAAAAAAATAATATTTATTTGTAATAAAAAAGTTATTGAATTTTTGCGGCAAAACGGCATTTTTTCACTATAGTGCGGGCCACCGCGGTGCACCGTCAATAGGATACAGCGGCGTCAGGCCAACTATAGCCCGCTGGCTGGGCAAAAAAAGTACAGAACGTTCTAAATAGGTTTTATCCTAAGGATGTCCTATAAACGTCCACAGCAAACGGAAAAATATAGAACTGTATAGGATGACTCCGTGTTTGAATATTAAATCTTAAAGTTTTATCAGAACTGTATTGAATCGTGCTTTGTTTTTATATTTTTCGGCTCTATACCTATGCACGAATATATTTAAAGTCAAACTCAATGGTGTGTTACAAGATACATTATTTTGTTTTTCTATATTCAACAGAGAGGTAGAAACTCGACCCTGTCGAATGCTGCAGTCATTTATGTCTCTAGAAATTATTAAAAAAGGGTTCAGTCCAATGGTGCAGCAACTCCGGATTCCTATTCTCTTCAGAGACATAGAAACTCAAGCTTTTCGAATTTTACTGGCAATGATTTTCGTTAATGTCCCCGAGAATTATACAAAAACAGCGCAATGCAATATCGCAACGGTTTCGACTTCTCTTTACTCTACCAAGTTATAGAAACTGGAGTCTCTCTAATACTGTTCTAGTCAATATTTCTGAGAGTATAAAAAGGGTGTAATATTGCAAGAAGTTTTAATCTTTTGATGGATGGAAGTAGTTTGAATTTTCTCATTTCTGCATATGATTTTGTTGAAAATAGTTCCTTTCTTTGGTTCCTTTGTCTGATTTTTATTTACCGTAACAACTCAGGTATGTAAAGCACAGAGGATATAATGTTAAGTATATTTATGTATTATATAAAATACCTATATTTGTATTAAAAATTTCAGAGGTTATGTTGAAAAAATGATCGACATGCTATTAAACTTTAATAATTTAGTAATGAGGTCTGTTGGTAGACCCTGCACTATCTCCACTGGTATATGTTAGTACAGCAATATTTAAATCTGGTTGATAAAAAAGTACACACCAGTGCAGGTTATTGTAGCATCTACGAACAAATGAATTAATGACCCATTGGCAATTATTCCTTTAGGAAAAATATTCAACACAGCCTAATTAATTAATAAAATGAAAAAAATCACAATCATGTCGTATAGGTATAGTTTTTTTAAGCATAAAATAATTTTTTTAATAATACTAGTTCAAAAGTGAAATTACGACCTCTATACTGTGAAGAGTATTGAAACGCTCGACTGACGAATACAAATCTATACCGTAGGGAGATTTAGAAAACCATATTCAAACGTGGCGTCATCCTATACACTTCTATAATTTTCCGTTTGCTGTGTCTCACGGGTTATTCTTGTATATATGTAGGTACTGAAAAAATCCTCTAAATGTATGTATAGAACCCTCATTATTCAGCTGTGACATCACAGACCACAGACTGTGTCACAGACGCACACCTCCAACTAAGTATTGCAACCCAGTTAGCTTAGCTAACTTAGCTAGCGTGCGTAAGCAGCGGTGAGATGTATTGCTTGACCGACGTCGGAAATCGATTATCATTTTTGACGTCGGTCCAACGACGTATGGACGTCGAAAATTGATTATCGTTTGTCGACATTGGACCGCTCCTTTTGCCGACGTAGGTCCGACGTTGAATTGACGCCGGAAATTGAATATCGTTTGCCGACGTTGCAACGGCAGGGCTTAAGTAATTTAAATGCAAGTTGAAAGCAACTCTAAATTTATAGTATGTTTTATTGTGTTATTAGAAGTCAAAATATCGAAAAATCAAAATCGCAATCGGCCATTTCAAGCGCGCGAACCGCACGAATTACAAAACTGTTTTTATAAAAAAATATTCTTCTTTTATGTATAACCTACATTAAATAAAAAAATATACCTAGAAGAAATATAGAAATATTTTATAAAAGTAGAGATAATTTAAATAACTGAAAGGTGTGTACAGGACAAAAAAAAGATTTATCTTGTCCCGTCCACACCTGTCAATTATTAAAATTATATATTATTATATATATAATTTTATTTAATGTAGGCTATACAATAAAAGAAGAATATATTTGACAATTTTGTTGCAAAAATAATATTATAATAATAAAAGAAGAATATATTTGACAATTTTGTTGCAAAAATAATATTATAATAAATTACCTACAATTTTTTTTATAAAAACAGTTTAAATAAAAAATAATTTAAATAATTAACTGTGTAAACACACACACACACCATATGTATGTTTTTTGGACTGCAAATATTACTGTTTTTTTAATGCCGCGAAATAGCTAAGATAACTACAAAGTATACTAATTTTTGTTCAAGAAAGAGACTACCTAAAATATTTATCTCGTATTTACGTAATACAATCGATTAATCGTTCTCAGCTAGATGTAAACAAACAGTAAATGGATCCAATAAACATGAAATGTCATATGACCTGTGGGATGTATTATAAAAAATTATAGAGAATGGGAAGCCAGTGGAAGCGAATTCTAAAGAATTTAAATGCTGCGTTAACATGCCTATAATCAAAGAAAACCCTGATACATTAATCATCGATGTATCCCTGGCGAAAAAGAAATGTGCAAAAAGTGTGCAAAATTATTTAAGAACAATGTGCAATCTTTTAAAAAATGATGCGCTGAGGGTGGGAAATGGAACATGAAACAATGTGCAAAACCAAAAATTTAAAAGTGGAATAATCACTGGACAATGTTTTAAAGGTAACTCCTTTTGATTTTTCACATTGTTTGCACACCGTTTCTTTGCACCTTCTGTGGGCCTTCTACAAACACAGACTCTTTTTGTTGACCTCTAAAGTCTTTTAAATTTACACTTAATAAATATCCTAATAATAATATTAATATTTACTTACCTTATACATTTTTTTTTATTAAAAAAAAATAACCTTAATGTACATACTGTATTTTATTATGAAAAATACCTGAACTGTCAACTCCACGACGGGGATTGCTTTGATCTTAGCCTTATGTTCTGTGATCTTAGCCATAGGCCGAGAAGCGATACAAAATATCTAATCTACCTCATCTTTTAAATAAATGTTTTACCCCAACACAAGCGAGATATATCTAAAATGTGCTTAAACTGTGATCGCTAAAACTGTACAAACAATGTGCTATAAAAAGGTATAATATAACTTATATAAGCGTGATAAATGAGAAATAATAAAGCGTGCTTACAGTATGTATAAAATATGACATGCGTAAGATAGACTGAAGCTTTGCAAAATTTTCTTTAAACAATGTACAAACAATGTGCTAAAAGATAATGTAATATAAGCGTCACAATTGACAAATAAAAAGCGTGGTGTCAATGTGGATAAGGAGTGAAAAAACTTTATTATTTCAAAAAATGTGACATTACCACAAAATAGCGCGTATGCACATTGTTATAAAGACTTGCACTCTAAATGCACACTTATTGCACACTTATCATGCACGCTTTATTTTTGACAGGGATTTCCACCGCCAGAATTGCACCTAGTGCTAGGGGTAGTTAACACAATTTTCAAAAAAATAAAAGCTTTATACATAAATGATGCTCTAAAATGGGCGGTAGAATGCGTGGTATCGAGAGTGATAACCAACGGAGGATGAGGTTTTGACGGAAATGGATGCGCTAAGTTGTTAAAAAATGGTGACATTTTGAGAAACTAGCTATAATATTGGCTGTTTACCATTCGCAAATTGTTTATCTAAATTGGGAAAGGTAGTTGATTCCTCTTTTTTTGAAACGTTAAAACCACATTATAAGAAAAATATTACTGATTTTCGAATTAGTTATTTAAGTTTAAGTATTTTAAGTATTTAAGTATTTTTGTCATAAAAATAATAAAGCATTGGGTTATTGATTTTATATTACATTTATGCATAAAATATAAATGCATACACACACACATTTATTTATTTAATTATTTTGTATATACATTTAAATGTCTAAATGTTTAAAATAAATCGTAATTTCGTTAAGAAAAAGAAACGGGCTGATTTGCGATTTTGGTTTTTCGATATTTTGACTTCTAATTACAAAATAAAACATACAACGCAAGAAAATTTAGAGTTGCTTTTAACTTGCATTTAAATTACTTAAGCCCTACCGGTATTTATTTCTTAATGCGTTTTTAGTTCGTTAAAAAGCACTGTTTTGCGAAAATTATTCTTTTTTTATTACGAATAAATATTTCTTTATTTATTTTTGACTTTGTTTAGTAGGTCTTATTACGTATAATTAACTATATTTTAATTTATATTAAAACATTATTAAAGATTAAAAAAATATTTTAATAAAATGTAAAACAAATCGTTCCTTTTTTTTTTACTAAAAATCACCTACCGGAAATCCAATTGGTATGTTAAAACGCAATTTTCGAAACACAATTTTTGAAGTATCGATAATATTAATTAATAAAATACATTTTGATCAACCTCAACAATTATTTAATTGCTAAACTATTTTATTAGCACGTAAAGTACGTACAAGTTACTTTCCTGGATAGTCTTAAAGAATTTTGAAAATTTTGTTATTCCTAATTTAAATTTGAGTTTTATTAATTTTATTTCTTTTTACTAATTTTATTATAGTACAATTTGGGAACAGAAACCAAGAAATTTTATACTTCCAAAACATACAATGATGGTCGGTGGCATAAAATAAATGCGGTACGTGAGGGAACAAAAGGGAAATTAATCGTTGATGGAGAAGTTGAACGTGATGTGTCAAAACAAATAGCTGGTTCTTCAATTGAAGCAATAGAAACAATTTCATTTGGTGGATATCCAAACAAACATAATTACGTTGATGTAACCCATATAAAATATGATGGTTGTATTAATAACGTTACTATTATGGGACAAACAGTAGATCTAAGAGTAAATATAAAGACATTTGATGTTTTACCTGGATGTCCAGAAAAGGTAAGAAATAAGTACATACGATGATATTTGTTTTTAAAATAAAATTAAACTTTATTTTAAGTTCGCACCTATGGTTTCGTTCACAAATAAAAGACCTGGTTACATTGGTTGGAATCGACTATCTATTTCCAATGACTTTAAGGCTGCATTAAAATTTAAAACAAAGGAAAAGGATGGAATCATATTTTATGTCACTGATTCAGAACAAACTGCTGGAATATCTTTATCTCTGGTTGATGGACGTCTTAAAATTATAAGTCAAAAAATAGAATTAATATCAAAAGATACTTTTAATGATATGAAGTGGCACGTAGTTTCAATGATGCATAATGAAAAGGAGTTACGAGTTGATTTTGATGATTATGGATACAAAGTGTAAGAAATTATTGTAAATTTGTATACTTACCTAATTAAGTTTATAAGTATAAGCTTTTCACCCGTGTTTGCTAGGTGCAAATGTCCTCCTCGTCCGGTACTGAACCCTATTTGGGTCTCGAGAGCGACATGCGAATAGTTTGAGTAGCCTCTCCCGGTTTCGCCGGGCCGCTGCTATACGCCCATGGGCAGTAGGATCAAAAAAAGTTGGGAACGGGGGGAATAGAACTCTCGGTGTTAAGTGGATAATTAAATCTGTGTATGACGCGGTGTCCCCCTAGACCGGGAAATTAGTATTACTCTAAACATTTGGGATTACTGTATGTAGTTAAGGAGTTGTAATTTCGATGTAGGGGCCAATCATCCTAGTCGTAGGCTACGACCCCGATAAAAAAAGATTTTATATACAATTATATATAATTATACCGTACTTTCAGTTTAAATGCATTCGGTTTTTAAGAGTGGAAGACGCCGAGAGACGGTTTTCGTAACTCAGCAGTTAACCCTTCACCGGCGTTGGGTGATAGTCCAAGTTTGCTCTGGATTATTAATACGAATTACGCAATATTAATTTAATTTACTTTTAAAAATTATACAGATACTTAAACGGTAACGTAATCACTTTTAACAGTAAATATTAATTAAAGGTGTAAAATCATTGCTAGTTTTGCAACTAAAAGTGTTTTCGTATAAAAACTACTGACAGTTAAACTGAATTGTTGCGTACGGCAACCCGCTTACAATGCATCTGAGGAGAGGCATCTGGGAAGGGGCGTTCGGGTTCACTCGGGTTTACTCGAATGTATATATTTCAAATAAACATACGGTATATACTTTATATACATTTCTATATAATGTATATAAAATTATATAATATTATATATAATTCTGTATAAAATTAAATAAAATATGAAATTTTATAAAATTATATATAAGGGTGGTTTTCAGTAACTTTTAAGATACCATGTCTCTGGGGTATTAAAACTAAAATCTTTATATTATTCATCATTTTTTTTACATTTTACTAGATCGATTTATAATACCAAAAGTTCAATATCCTATAAATTAATTTTTTAATTTTGGTTTTCACATGATCGTCGTATGTCCCTCGAGCAAAATCCAATCATTAAGAAGTTGGCAACAACTTAATGTTAAAGATAATGTGTTGAATAAAAACTTCCAATGGATTACGTTTATTTAACGTCCTAATGATAATGCTAATCTTAATGTTAATGTTAACTTAATGTTAATTTGTGCTGCATAATGCGTCTGTCACAATAGTGTTAATGTTAATGTTAAAGTTAATGGTAATTGTCATATAAATTGTGTTAGGGTTCACAATAATGTAAGCGGTATGTTAATGGAAAAGTTGTTTTAAATTTAGAGGGCAGTAAACCAAGGATTGCCAACCATGCATTGTGAAATGTTTTGAAAATGTTAACCTGAAATGTCATTATTGTTCTAATAATAGTGGCACATCAATCATTTTAGTGATATTACAAACTCTTTAAAAACAGCAATAAACAAAGCATCCATAAAAGAAACAAAGCCAAACTAACCTACAAACATTCAACATCACTTTTGTGCGATTGGCGCATGCGTGCGCTCATTGCTCCCATTGGTAGATGGTACAGAAGATGTTAATGATAATGGTAAAATGCAGAAATTTTTTTGGATCGTTAACCACAAGTTGTGGCCAAACTAACCTACAAACATTCAACGTCACTTTTGTGCGATTGGCGCATGCGATCCAAAAAAATGTCTGCATTTTACCATTACATCATTTTACCATTACATACACAGACGTTATTGCGCGCGGTTTATCGTGTTATCTGCAAAAATATATGGAAAATCATGTACGTGACCCTGCTTAAAATACCCCATAGAGACCTATATAAAATAATCTATCAGGCGCTACCGGATTCAATATGTGCATTTGTCCATGGTTTTTTCCGGATACGGCCCGATAGAAGATATATAAGCACACCATAACTTTTACATTTTCCCTATTGAGACCGATAGCAAATACCTCAATGAAGGATATATAGGGATATCCCTATAGAACAACCATAAAACATTTGACAAAATTTTATTAAAACCTATGGGGTCCTATGGGGGAAAACTAATTTCTACATTTATGTGTATTTTCCCCATTGAAACCAATAGCAAATAAATCAAGGGTGGAAATCCCTATAGAACAACCATAAATCCCAACTATGGATCCTATACATACCGATACGCCCTATAGAAACATCATACATTCCGATACATCTATCGGTTTGAACAGGGTCTCTATGGGGTATTTTAAGCAGGGGAGTGAGTATCGCCTCGTGCAATGATAGAGCGGGAAGGTATTTCAGACGTGCTTTGCTCTGGAGTGTGGCGTACATCATTTCAACAGTGTCCACACGCCACATTCCGCGTCAAGGTTTACCTTCGCTTGGCGAAATTTCACGTTGAAAATTTGTACATGATCACATGCAGTTTCAAACGACTCGATAAATGACACTTTTTGCCCACTCACATACGATTTTTTCTTTGAAACTATATACCACGCGCAATCACTTGCTAAATCATTTGAATACTTTATCAAGTGTATGGAACATGACGCTTTTTTAGCCATGCCGTTCTTTCGTGCATACTAACCGCTACATCCCAAAACGCCACGATAAACCGCGTGAAATAACGTCTGTGTATGGCCAGCTATTAACATCTTCTGTACCATCTACCAATGGGAGCAATGAGCGCACGCATGCGCCAATCGCACAAAAGTGACGTTGAATGTTTTTAGGTTAGTTTGGCTTTGTTTCTTTTATGGATGCTTTGGTCTACAACCATTAGCTGGCCATACACAGACGTTATTGCCGGCGGTTTATCGTGTTATCTGCAAAAACATATGGAAAATCATGTATGTGAGTGAGTAATGATAGAACGGGAAGGAATTTCAGACGTGCTTTCCTCTGGAGTGTGGCGTACATCATTTCAGCAGTGTCCACTCGCCAAACGCCACTTTCCGCGTCATGGTTTACCTTCGCTTGGCAAAATTTCATGTTGAAAATTTGTACATGATCACATGCAGTTTCAAACGACTCGATAAATGACACTTTTTGCCCACTCACATACAATTTTTCCTTTGAAACTGATATACAACGCGCAATCACTTAGTAAATCATTTGAATACTTTATCAAGTGTATGGAACATGACGCTTTTTTTGCCATGCCGTTCTTTCGTGCAAACTAACCGCTACATCCCAACACGCCACGATAAACCGCGCGAAATAACGTCTGTGTATGGCCAGCTATTAACACCACCATTACCATCATTGTGAACGGATACACTCATTTTTTTTATGCTTTGGATATTAACATTAACATTATCATTAACACTATTGTGACAGAGGCAATGCCTCTGAGGCATACATCCAGCAATATTTAATAAAGTGTGTCAAAACTTCTCAAATAAAAATAAATGAACGTTTATAAATGCCATTTAAACAATAACCCTATTATAATCTTAAATAAATAACTAGCATTTGCAACAGGAAAAATTATTTAAAAAAAACTACAAGGGGTAAAGTGTTGCCAAATTCTGCCTATTTATGTCAATTCAAAGGTTAATTTGTGGGTTATAAAATAACCTTAAATTATCCCTCAAATTGACATTTGACAGCCCTGATAGAATCAGGTTTATTTTTTACAAAAGAGGAGTAAAATGATTGTTCTTACCACTTTGAGGTCTCTTTTAAGGCTTGCAAGTCTCTATGTAAGAAACACAACGTTTAAAACGATTATTAATCTGTACAAACCCAAGGCACAAGAATTGTAAACAACAAAAATGGCCTCCATCGTATGATGTGCAGTGTTGCAGTGATTTTTAGTATTTTTACTACGAGATCGAACAGACCTTGTTGTGTGGATTGTGCATAGACCTATAGTAGTATTAATTCCCCAAAATCAAAAATTATATATATATATATATATATATATACAGGGTGTCCGGGAAAAGGAGGTCAATCCGTTAACCATATATTCCTTGAGTTAAAACAATAAGACTTTCATAATACCATTTTTCAATTTAGAGCTTCATGTTCGATATACAGGGCGACAAAGTTTGAAATTTAAAACTGATTTGTTTTAATAATTCGAGTAATTGATAAGATACTAAGTTTAAATTCGGTACACTAGTTCAACATAAATACTTACATTTTTTGAGACCAACAAAACAAAAAACAATTGTCAAATAATCAAAATAGGGGGGTCCAGTACTCACTGACTCCCCCTATTTTTTAGTACGTGCGCCAATGACTTCCAAACGGTATTTTTTCAAGTAATCATTTATTGTTAAAAAAAATTTGTCTCTTATAAAACTTTGATAAAATGATTTGTTTTAGAGATAATTTGTAAAGTATGGGTCAGTCCATATCAAATCAACCAAAGGTTCTTCCCCAACCATCTCCGATTTTGATCATTTTTGGTAAATTTGTTTACCTCGCTAAAAAACTCAAAAATCCCATATATGAACTTTTTTCGATAGGTGGTTTTTGTTTTATTGATTTTTGAAAATCAAAAAATTCCGATAAATTTGGGTCTTGCAAGTACTTACAAAAATAGCGATATCTCGTAAACTATTAAAAGTAAAAAGGTGAGTGATGGCTTATTTTAAAGGCCTATTAGAGAACTTTTTTATGATATATCACATGACCTACATTTTTTCAAAAAAAAATTAAATTTTAAAAATTTGATATGGACTGACCCATACTTTACAAATTATCTCTAAAACAAATCATTTTATCAAAATTTTATAAGAGACAAAACATTTTCAACAATAAATGATTACCTGAAAAAATTCCGTTTGGAAGTCATTGGCGCACGTACTAAAAAATAGGGGGAGTCAGTGAGTACTGGACCCCCCTATTTTGATTATTTGACAATTGTTTTTTTGTTTTGTTGGTCTTAAAAAATGTAACTATTTATGTTGAAGTAGTGTACCGAATTTAAAC